TCACAGCATCTTACAAATACCCCACAGCCCTTGGGGCTACCAGTCTGGTGTTGAAGTGCACAGTTGTGAAACGACAGGCTTGGCAGCGGTCACTTCTCTGAGCCTCGTCAAAATGGGAACGGCCACAGCACCTATCTGCCATGGTTGCTGTGGAACGATGACGAGTCTCCAGCTGGTAGCACAGTAATGGACACTGAGGTGGTCAGTGCATTTGTACTCAACGAATGAGATGGCATTTCCGTTCTCCAAGTGAAAAACAAACCACAATGATTAAAAACAAACAAAGAAACAAAAACCCCAGGAGAACAAAGCTAACTTCTGCCTGGCACAGGGCTCCTGAATATCACCCCCACTTCCGTGAATAAAAAGATGATTACCAATAAAAACGTTGGCTACTCACCTCACACATCTGCTGTATTTGGCCGTGAAGCCTTTAGCGGTAGAGGGGCCAAATAAGTCTTTATACAGCCTTTTGTTAGATTTTGAGGGCTGTTTTATTTTTCTTCTAAGCATTGTACGAAATGTCACACATAAACAAGTTGTCAGCACTGATATGATTTGAATGTGACTCACCGTTAGCATCAGGGCCACTACTCAATCCTCCCTCCTTCGCCCTCCTCCCCTCTCCTTGGGGCTGGGGGGAGAAGATGGAAGGTGGTCTACGTTCTAACTTGGATGCAGTTCAGAATCAAGGGCGCTCAGGCCTGCGGCGTCCTAGAGGGCATCCAATGGCCTCCCTTGGCAATTCCATGCCGGTTTTGTTCAGATAAACGTGGAGAGAGGCAGCTGAATACTGACCACAAGGAGTGGGAGCTGGAGATGGGGCCTGGGGCAGTACACAACCACTCTGAAGGGTGACGTGGGGCAGGCCCTGTGCTGGGCTCCGTACACGGGCCATCTCAATGATCCACACAGCGATCATCCCTCCTCACTGTGGAGGAACCTGAGAGTCTGGGAGGTCACGTAATTGGCTGAAGGCCCCATGGTGAATTCGCCCCTCATTCTGGTATTTACCATTCCTGTGGGTTGGATGAGAGAAGGTGGGGCTCACCTTCCTGGACAGCAGGGACCCGGGGGCCAGAGTGTTCCCAATCATTCCTGGTACCTCACACCAGGAACGAGGCTGTCCCCCTGGCATCCTGGCACTGTAACTTATATGCCCGAGTTTGCTCATCTGCACGGTGGAGATATTAATTCTCCCATCATTGGATATACAGATTAAATGAAATAAGATAAGGAATGGGGCTATCTGTCGAGTAGGTACTCGATAACTTACTGCACTTCCTTTCTACTTTTTTGATTATCGCTTGTTTCAGCCTTCTGGCTCCTCCTGTCTCACTCAGCCTGTGGTGAAAATGGTTAAGAAAGCCATATATACTCCCCAAATTGTGTTGATTTTTTGAAAAATCAACATACACTACAATTTCATAAAACTGATGGATTGTTCTAAAGCCCCCAGGGTTCTGAGGCTATTGATTTACTGACACATCCATTTACACAAACTTAAAAAAAAAGTACTGCCTTGAATTCACAGAACACCTTTCTACAAGGAGCTCAAGAATTTCAAAAGGTTTATACTTACATTCTTTTTATAGAACAGGAAGGAAGGCAAGGATATCAACCTCACTTCATATACACTAAGAAAAATAAACAAAGCTAATAAAATACCCAGAATCTAATGGGTTAGAACTGCCTGGTGTATTCAATCCATTTAAAAGTAAACATATGTGACCAATTAGAATATGTAAATTGGACAAGTCATATTAGAAATATTCAAATGCATTTTTGGTTCCTTTTTCTCCAAACATGTCGGAATTCCTGGAAGATGCCCGAAGCTCTGGCCAGACAAAGCTTGCTGCCTCCCCAGACCACCAAGAGCATCTGCACCCCACACCATTCCTATGATGCTCAGGGGAATCCCTCCACCATGAACCTCGATGGAGCTCGAGCCCAACGCCAGATCTTTTCTGACTTGCTTTCCATACTCAAGGATTCAACTAAAATATAAATCATAAGAACCTTCCCCTTCCCTTTCTGCCCCCAAGAATATAAAGATGCTTCCTTCTCTATGACGCCATGACAACAAAAATTTACTGAATGAAAGGATAAAGAGTGACACCATTTGTGCAATGAGGCAACAGGGCCACCTCGGGCTGTCCACAAAGGCCACAATTTGGCCTACACGTGGTCAGAATTGCTCCTTGCTGAGAGAGCTTTGCTGTTCCTTCCTGTGGCGAACTGTTTATAAAAACGGCCACAACAGTTCCCCCACCCTTGTGTGAAAGCCTCTTTGCCATGTGGCTTTGTGGCTCCTGCCTCCAGGAGGTGGAGTCTGCTTTTCCACCCCTTGAGTCTAGGTTTGGCCACATGACTTGCTTTGATCAATGGCACATTGGCAAATGTGATGCAAACAGAGGCATGAAAAGTGTCTGCACTCTGGGGCTGACCCTCTCTTGCTCCTCGGAACTCGGCCACGTCCCGTGAACTAGAGGGTGAGAAAGTGCACAAAGGGAGGCTGCCGTTATCCCAGCCGCCCAGGTGAGGCCCAGATATGGGAGGAGGTCATCCCGACCTCCCAGCCCCAACATGTCAGGGCAAACGGCAGAACTGCCAGCTGACTCGTAGAACTGGGAATAAATAAAATGGTGGTTGTTTTAAGTTGCTAAGTGTTGGGGCAGTTTGCCACACAGCAGACGTGAACCGATACACACAACTTTGTGTTCCATTTCTTGAACTCTGGCTCTACTTGCAAACTTGAAGGACTTTACAGAATTGATCATAAGCAGAAATGTAATGTGACGCACAGAAGACAAAATGTTTTCAGGAGTTCCTTTAGAACTGAGCACAGCACTTCTCAAACTTCTCAACACTTGCAGAATAACCTCTAGGAATCTGACCCATAGACACACCCATAGAAGGGCACTAGGCTTCTGTATATGGATGGTCCCTGTGGCACCATTTCTAACGACGTAAAAGAGGAAAACACCTAAATATCGATCATTAGGGAAAAGGATAATAAGCTATGGTTTAAAATAAGACAGAAGAAAAAACAAATGGCTAAATATTTTTCAAACAAGTATCCTACTAACCACCTCGTAGCTCTCATCTGCCACAGCAGGTATCTCAGCCTTCAGGGATCTGAGTTCTGATCTGTGGTCACTACTTACTGCCTTTGAAACTGCACGCCCGCATGAGACTTTCCCCAGAGTCACAGAGTATGCAGCACATGGCTGGTTTAGGCAGTCAGGGCAAGGGTGGGATATTTCTAATTAATCCTTTATAAAAAAATGCTCATAGGTATAAAAAAAATTCAACTTCTTTTCTGGGCATTATAGATTCTTAAAAATGTGTTGCTCAAGTATTATTCACAATGGTCAAAAAGTGGAAACAACCCAAATGTCCAACAACTAACGAATGGATAAACAAAATGTGGTATATTCACACAATGGAATATTATTTGGCCATATAAAAGGAATGAAGTACTGATACATGTTACAGCATGGATGAACCTCGAAAACACTATGCTAAGTAAAAGAAGCCACATACAAAAGGCCACATATTCTATGATTCCATTTACATGAAATGTCCAGAATAGGCAAATCCATAGAGAAAGTAGATTAGTTGCCAGGAGCTGGAGGAGGGGGAATGGGGAGTGACTGCTACTGGACAGAGGATTTCTTTGTGGGCTGATGAAAATGTTCTAAAATTTATTGTGGTAATGGTTGCACAACTCTGAATATACTAACATCACTGAATTGTACAATTTAAATTGGTGAATTGTATAGTATGTGACTATCTCAATAAAGCTGTTTGGGGGGAAAAAAACCCAAATAAATAAATAAGTAAATGTATCACTCAATGTTCCATGATGGGGAATGGAGGTCAGTCCTCATTATAATGTAAACATGTATATTTAAACCCTGCTGAAAATTTTAATCTCATCATTTTGCTAATTAAAGAAAAGAATAGTTTTTACTTATTGAAGATCCACTAAGTCTCAAACCATTAATTCCCAATTTATTTGGATCTGCCCTAGCATCTAATAGAAGAGAATTAAAACAAACCAATAATGACCCAAAGATGCCCAGGCTGAGACTCTGTGGTGCTCTGGCTAATCGTAAAGAGCCTGGAAAATATGGGCTCTTTTGGACAGAAAAGCAGAAGTCGAAATGGCTATCTGGGTCCCCCAAAGAGCCTGTGTGTGTGCATGTCTGTGTGTGTGAGTGGTGCATCTGGGGTAGAGAGCTTGGGAAAATGTTCTAAGAGTTTAAGGTGTAATCTGCTGGTTCGTGGGGAAGCTCGCGGACAAGGCGTCCCAGGCCACACACATCCTCGTCTCCCACAGCTGCCTCTCTCTCCTGAGTTTTAACCGTTTTGTGTACATGTCTTGTCTCCCATCTGGACTGTAGGCTGCTAGAGGGGGCCACCATGTCCAGTTCCATTTTCTCTCTCTCTCAGAATTTAGCAAAGTTCAATATAACCAGCAGGTGATTAAAGAAATAGAGCAAATTTATAAAACAGGTTAGGGGACAATAGGTCTGATGTAAAAGAATTCTCTTCTTTACAAAATGATTCATTAAAGACTTTCTTTAGGGAACTAGCTCCTGTAATGGATATAAAAGATGGATGTGATTTAGGAAAAGACCTGCTAACCCTCAACTTTCCCAGGAAGCTATATAAGGTATGTGCTATGTAAACTGTGCAAGGTTTTATCAACAGTCCTTGCTATCAACAAGTTCTTGCTTTCCCTGTGGAGCAAGCAAAACAATGAACTCAAAAGCAGTTGGATTGGGAAGACTCCTCTTAACGAATCCAGACATAGACAAGATTTCCAGTTAAAGACACCTTCTAGAAACTTAAGCCAGAGATGGGACAGCTGAAATGAAAGCCTTCTCGTGCCCAAGGGTTTAGCAGTTGCCTGATGCCCACGAGTAGAGAGATTCAACATCTAATCAGAGGGTTGGAGCCCAACCAAATAGTGGAAGGGGCCAGGCCCTCACCTCAGGAATCAGCCGCCGCCTCTTCACGCTGGGGACAGAGTCTGGCTGGCCATCGCTGCCCGGCTGCTTGAGCTTGCTGGAGTCCTGGAGGGCAGTGAAGACGCTGTCCAGAGGGTGCTTCTCAGAAGACCTGGAACTCACTGAGCAGTCCAGGGCAGCATCTTCGGCCTCTGTCTCCACTTTCACAGTGTTATTTTTTAGAACTGTGGCAGAGAAGAAACAGGGCTCAGCGGGAAAGACCACTGGGCCGCTCAGAGATTAGCAGGGTTCCTGGGCGACGGGATGTTCCTGGGCCGCCCCTTGACACCACCACTCAGATAATAATGTCTAGTCACAATAAAACTGCGCTTTCCCACTCAGTAATTTTTATCTTACCACACTAGTGCTATAATATAAAGCCATGTTCCAAGAACATTTTTTTCCAAAACTGGTTTTAAAGTCTTTTGGGGGGAGGGGAGAGGAGATGAAAGGAGGGTAACAAATACTATCTTTTAAATGATGCTTTTTAAAAAGTAACTTGGGAAAGATACACAAGATACTTATAACAGGTGTGTGGGTAGAGGGGGATGGGAATGGAGTGGGAGGAGACTTTGCATTGATTTTTCATTATGTATCTTTTATATCTTTGAAACGTGAATGCATGACCTAATAAACATATTAAGTTAAACATATTTTTCAAAAAGAGACTTTTTTACCTTCTTCTACATCTTCACTGAATTCAGTTGCGTTCATCTTCTATTCCACTAAACGAAAAGACAAAGACAAAGTCTCGATTTATTGCTTGATTTATTTCTTAAATTTCCCTGCCCATGAGAAGTTCCCTGACCCTCCGAGCCCAGGCTCCGGTAACAGAAGGTTAAGCTGACACTGCTCTGCCACAACCTGGGAAACTGCCTCCTCTTATTCTTGTTTGCAGTTGCTTCGAAGCAGCCAGGCCTCCCGCGTGCCTGCTGGGAGCACTTCTCCAAGACTTTCTGTGGGCAGAACGCGGCCTGATGCATCGACTGAGAGCCACTTACAGAGCGAGGGGAACGTTACTGGAGAAAATCAAGTCTTACGAAAGACCCCAGTTTGGATGATCTCCTGTTAGTCCCTGCTTCATAAATTCCAGCCACAAAATGAAAAGGCTGACTAAGGGTGGAGGCTGTGGATCCCACGGGCCCAACCTGAGGTCTTAGGACCCCTGGTGGTCCGAAAAGACCTGTGCTGTCCATGCGGCAGCCACTAGTCACACGTGGTTCCTGAGGACTCCAAAATCTGGCTAGTCCAAATGGAGACATGCTGTGAGTATGAATTTCACACTGGATTTCAAAGACTTAGCATAGCAAAAAGAATATAAAATATCTCATTAAAATTTTTTTATATTGATTACATATTGAAATGATAATATTTAGGACTTATTGGGCTAAGTAAAATACTTTATTAAAATTAATTCCACTTTTTTTAATGTGGCTACTAGAAAATTTGAAATTACATACGTGGCTTGCATTTTGTTTTTATTGGATGGTGCTGGTCTAGTCCTTCCTTCCGAAGCAACAAGGAGAAAGAGTCACTGTGAGTTTTTAGAGCTCTCAAACTCCACACAATATGGTCCAAACCCCTTTTTTTTACTGACGAGGGAACAGGGCGGGAATGGGTGGTGGAGCCCCGGGTGGGCTGCAGGGTCCGGTGCAGAGCTAGCCCCTGGCTCCCAGGCACCAGCCGGAATGGAATGGACACCATGATTAAAATCACCAATACAAGTCTTTGAGATTCTCCAAGTTACCTAACAGTGTGTCCATAAATAGTATAAGATATAAACGAGGCACAGCCAGCCCTGGTGGTCTAGTGGTTAAGATTCAGCGCGCTCACCACCGCCGCCCAGGTTCATTTCCGGTCAGGGAACCACATCACCTGTCTGTCAGTTGTCACACTGTGGTGGCCACGTGTTACTGTGATGCTGAAAGCTATGCCACTGCTATATCAAATACCAGCAGGGTCCCCCAGGGTGGACAGGTTTCAGTGGAGCTTCCAGACTAAGATAGACTATGAAGAAGGACCTGGCCACCCACTTCCGAAAAAACCCTATGAATAGCAGCAGAGCACTGTCTGATACAGCGCCGGAAGGTGAGAGGATGGTGCAAAAAGACCAGGCAGGGTTCAGCTCTGCACAGGGTCCCTAGGAGTCGGAATCAACTTGACGGCACTAACAACAATAAATGAGGTAGAAACATTGGAAAAGAATACACATGACAGCCTGTACTATTGACACTGAGGGGCTGTGCTTCCCAAAACTGATTAAGCTGCCAGCAGATACTGAGTTCCTATTCTGGTTAAGGATCAGAGGAGAGAAGGGCTAAGGAGTATGTCTTAAGAACTTTCTGTAAGGAAGAGCGATGCCATCTACAAAGTCCAGTAAACCTTTCATCGTGTAGCCATGGAGTGGTGTGTGGTCCCGTTTTAGATGGACGGGTGGAGTGAGGGGGTGAGAGAGAGTATGTCTAGGTGATCTATGCACACGATAAAAACAACTTCAAAATTCACTAATAATAGCCACACTTACATAGTACATATGACATGGTGCACTATGCTCAATGTGTCACAATAGCTATGACGGGCACAATTCTTTTCATCCCTGTATTACTAATTTTCAGAAGAATGAAGAAGAAAATTTAAGATTTATTTGAAACTGAAATTAATTCCTACTTACCAAACTATCTGCTATCTGAAAAACGTAACACATTGGGACTGGCCCCGTGGCTTAGCGGTTAAGTGTGCGTTGCTCCAATACTGGCGGCCCGGGTTCGGATCCTGGGCGCACACCGAGGCACCGCTTCTCCAGCCATGTTGTGGCAGCGTCCCACATACAGCAACTAGAAAGATGTGCAACTATGACATACAACTATCTACTGGGGCTTTGGGGAGAAAAAGGGGAAAAAAAGGAGGAGGATTGGCAATAGATGTTAGCTCAGGGCCAGTCTTCCTCAGCAAAAAGAGGAGGATTGGCATGGATATTAGCTCAGGGCTGATCTTCCTCACAAAAAAAAAAACAAAAAACCACAAAGAAACCTCACACCATATAAAACAAAACCTTGTTATTTACGTAAAAAAAAAAAAAAAAAAAACATAACACACAAGGTGACACTGAGGGAAAATAAACAATAAGTCAACTCCCAGGGTCCAAGAACTATTTTACCAGAGGTGAATTTTAGCAAATACAATTTCCACTGCATTCCAAGGAAACAAACCTTGAGTTTGATAATGTCACCTGACCTGGGTGTCTGGGGGAGGCCCAGGCAGGGAGGTGGCATCCGAACTCCCTTCTTTTCAGACAGGAAGGTTGGCCAACACCAGGCAGGAATTCAGGCCTCCTGGTTCCCAGCACAATCAGGGGGCCTCGCAGGGAACACTTCAGGCTTCACCCTGACGTCCCGAGTTTGCCAAGTGCCCTTGGAAACCCTGCCACACGGTCGCATAACCCATTCCCTCCAATCAAAGGCAGCGGTGAGAAGCAGCAGGAGAGACGGGAGGAATGAGAAAAGGGCTGGTGGATTGGGTACAGTGTCCAAAACAATTACATTCTGGAGAGGAAAGGTGGGACAGGGAGGAGATGGCGGTCAGTTTATTTGGGGGAGAAAAGGGTCGCAGTGAAAGAAAAACCACGACGACTCTGGCTAAGTAGAAAGCATTAAAAGAACAAGGGGTGGGCAGGGAGCCTAGTGGTTAAGTTCTGTGCGCTCCATTTCAGTGGCCTGGGTTTGGATCCCGGGCGCGGACCTATACCACTCATTGGCAGCCACGCTGTGGCAGCAACCCACATACAAAATAGAGGAAGACAGGCACAGGTGTTAGCTCAGGGACAATCTTCCTCAGCAAAACAAAAAGTAAAATAAAAATAAAATAAAAGGATGAGCAACTCCTAGAAGAAAAGAAAACAGGAATCAATGAAAAAACACAGCAGACAGAAGCACAAGTGCTGAGCTAGGATGGCTATCTAATATGACACCTGCCGGACTGTGTTTCCCTGTGAAGCAGCGTGGAGCCCAGGAGGCAGGTGCAGAGGCTGGCAGAGGCCGACAGCACAGGGCCTGGAGGCAAGCGCCGGTGTCGTCTCTGCTAGGAATGGACTTGGGGAGCAGGAAAGGTGTTTTCTGAACCACCACCATGTGACACGACAGCAGGCAATTTAGCACCTGAATTCTGAGCTCCCTGTGATCCTCACGTCGGAAAATGATGAAGGAAGAACACACATCTGAGCCACCCTCGGGTGGGGGAAGGCAGAGGGGGTGCTGGGAAAGCTTACAGGGGTGAGGTAGGAGGAGGGGGCGGCTGGCTTCCTGGGCATTCAAGACGTCCCGTGTGCATCTGTTTTAGAAAACATTTCCGAGTTCATTTATAGACAAGTGACAGATGCTAGATTAGCACCGAAGTATGGTGGGCCCCTTCCCTCCCAGCCAGCAAGGAAGCCACACTCATCGGGAAGCTGGGGGATTTCCCATTTGCAAGGCCTGGAAAACCCACAGCTGCACGTGGCTCCTGCGGTGGGGAGAGGGGTGAGGGTCCTCAGTAACATCTGCAGCCCACGAACTCGTGCCAGGTGCTGGGCCGGCCACTTTGTGCCTGCCTCCATGTCACCCCAAGTGACTTTAACCCCAATTTCACCAGTAAAGAAACTGAGGGCATACACCTTAAACATACACAATTTTGATTTGTCAATTACACCTCAATGAAGCCAGAAAAATTATTTTTATATCATTTTGATTATGGAAATAAAATATTTGAATATTAGAAGGGTAAAAAATGAGCCAAAGGGCAGGTAACTTGCCAGGTGTCACACAGCTGTTAAGTGGCAGAACTGAGATTCAAACCAAGTCTGTGTGTATCTCCCGTCAGCCACCAGGAGAGAAAATAACAGAATCCTCATTTTTCTGTTAAGGTTCCTTTGATGAACACAGGGCCCAGACCCAGCCTTGGATTTCTGTCCTACAGCAGCTGGAGCATCCAAATGTCCTCTCGTCTCCATGTAGCTACCCGGAAATCCAGTCTGCTCTGTGCTTACAGACTCCAGCCCCCAGTACAGAAAAGTTTCTATGAGGGGGATCTGTGGGCCACTTCCCGGCATCTGAGGTGGCGTGGTGAGAGTACACCAACAACGTCATGGCTGAGCAGAAAGGGGACGGGCATCACGTGGCTACCTCCATTTCCTGGTCACCTGTCCAGACCAAGGTCACTGGGCTGCTCACCCTGGGTAGACACGGAGCGTGCCGCAGAAATTCCTTTTGCTTACATAACCAGAGAAGCCACCAACCACCTTGGCTCCTGCTCGCACAGGCTGCTAGGACTGCAATCTCTTGCCTGCTGGACTTAGTAGAATTTCTCATTTTAACACTGTCTCCTTTTCAAAACCCTCTTATTCCTCTCACCATGAATCTCAAACTGTGAGACAGTCTATGCATCCACATGTCCCTGAAAATCAGCTTTCTCCCCAAGCGGTGGCTGTTCTGTGTCCCTCAGAAACCCCTGACCAAGCCCAAGGGCAGATTTAAACGAACGAAGGGGACAGGTGTCAAAGAGACCCGTGTCGCTTGCTGCTGCCTCTAGTTAACATAGCACGAGTTCTAAGACATCGAGGACCTACAGGAGGGTAACTCTCAAACAGGACAAATCTCCAGTGGTCAATCTAATAAATGAAAATGCTTGTTATATAATTTTTTTTAACCAAATAGCCTAGGAAGCCTCAGGCAAAGTGACCGTCACTGGTATGGACAGGTTTTAAATGTTGCA